CTCCAAATATATTATCATACAAACATATATACGCTTGAATGTTTTGTTCATTATTTAACATTTTATTCCGCTATATACATTTCGAATTATGCCAAGTTAAAATAATAATATGGTATTTTTGCTAATTTGGCCTTCCGTTAAAATGGATTTAATACATTTCCTTTTTCGAGATTTTCATATCGAAATAGTTATTCGATAAGTCAGTCATACAAGTTAAGTTTAAAAGTATTTATTTTGTAGAAATTGTCCTACATGTCCTAGTTTACATCTACCTTTTGACAAATCAACATATTGAAAATTCACAATTATACTTATTCTTTCTAAGAGAGTTTTTCTTGAATAAATATATGAATACGTAATAAAAAACTGTGTTTTTAAACAAATCCAATTTTTTTAAATCTATTTTAATGGGGGGACACATTACTACCACTTGTTCTTCTTCGACTCATTATGCAATATCGCCACATTTTTATAAATAAATTAACTAAGTAATAAATATTTCATAACATCGAATCTACAATCGATTGGACTTTGACGAATGTAATCGTTAAGTTTTCAATTTAAAATATTGATTATCAATATTATTCTACAAAATGTAAGCGAAGGATAATAATACCATCTTCTCTTTTATTACTACCCAAGTAGAGTCGCCAGACATTACAAGGAACCAACGCTTGGCCAACGCTACGGCAATCAACTGTTGGCCAATATTTTGTCAGCCAGTAATGGGCCAACATTGGACTAGTTGCCTATCTTTATACAGGATAATCCAGCATTACAACGATGGACAACGCAAGGCCGACGTACGGTTGCCAATTCGTTGGCTAAGATTCTTTCAGTTAGTACTGGACCAGCATTGATAACTGACTTTTTGCCAATTTACTGGACTCTACGTAGAATGATAACGTCGAATACTGTTGCAACATAAAGTTACGGTGGATGAAAGGACTAGGACCCAAGAATCGCAAATAATAATAATTTAACGATGATACATCAACATCAATGATAATCAAATGTAAATAATGCTGTTACTAAAATATGTGATATTGAGAAACATTGTAACATTGTAACATTAGTATTACTATGATCGTTTGATAAATATATACGTATTTGTATATTTTATATAATAATTTATATGTTAATACAATAACTGTCAAATATTAGATTGGCCAATAGATCTTTTCTTTTTTTTCAAAAAGTGGCGTTTATTTCATGTTTAATATATATTTGATGTCAATTTTATGTACGCATATACAAGGTGTTCAAAAAAACCACTCAATATTTATATGGTAGGTAATGCACTACACTGAGTAAAAACCTTAGTAAACATAAGTGGAAAGCTCAACCGTTTCTGAGATATAAACATTTCTGTATGTTAGCATCGTGATTGACTTACTGGCTTCTATAGGTCACATATAACGTGAGAAGAAGATAATTTGTCTAAATCTTTATCTTGATATTTACAGAAGATGTTCTACATGTCCTCCTTCCATTTCTATTCTTGCGCTCATGATAACCTAAAAAATGAGAAAATGTTCTATTTTGTTTAACTTGCCGTTTTGAATATGTAAAAATTATCAAAATTAAAAGAATTAAAAAAACGATATACGTTATTCGAAAGTAGAAACTTTAGGCTTTAAAACTCTTTTTTTAAATTTGGATTTCGAGAACTTTTGACGAAGTTACAGCTGCTTGGATCTTGTTTATTTTTTGGGGAAACGTTAAGTTCTTTTAATTGTTGTACGTAGTGTATTTACGAAAAGATATTATAAGATTAATTTTTTGACTCTCTCGGATTTAATAAAAACATCTAAATTTGCGCAACAATTTGCATTGGAGCCTGGCTGCAATAGACGCGAGTCACAAATTTTTGACTGACCGATTCATCTCATACGTTAAGACTCCGGAATAGTCATTCAAGAACTCTGCGTTGACAGTAGCGACACAGTTCAAAACAAAAGGATGAACTAATAGAGTGCGTCCGGCAAGCGCTACAAATGCTTCGAAGCGTTTCTCCTACTTCATCTATCTTTCGGATCTGAATAAAGAAAGAGAAACAAGGAAAAACGCTTCGAAGCATTTGTAGCGCTTGATGGATCACATTTATATGCGTGAAGAGTGGCGTGTTGACAACGAAATTTTGTGTTGCGTGCCATTTTTTTATTATTTGCTTAATTGTACAGGTAATTTGTGATATACTTGTTAAACTCGTAAAAATGGGCAAAAACTAAGATTAGCTTAGAATTTATGTGGGAGCATATTTTCCACTCTTTTCGACAGCTGTGAAATCGTGTTTTCCTGCGTAAATAGGGCCTTATTTCACGTATCTTTTATAACTATTTATTGATTGTTAGGAGGGAAAAGAAGAGTTTTCGTCTATTTTCATAAGTTTCTTCAAGTGATCTCAAGGATTGTTTTATCCAAATGTTTCTTTATTTGTAAATGGCATGCAATATTTCTCAACCTATGACGTCACGAATCTAATATGGCCACAGCGACTATTCCGGAGCTTTAACACAAGCCATTGTCGCCTATTCGCTAGTAACACAGGTCGTAGTTTAAATAGCGTAATTTTTTTCAACACTCGACTCTACGCAATATTCGTTGTGTCGATTGCATATACAGATTTTTCAAGTGTCATCCGTGTAAAGGATCGATAAAGTAGCGGTGCAATAAAAATCGTTCCAATTAGATTCAAGTAATGTCTACGTCGCGGAATAATCTTTTAAAATTTTTTTCTTTGAATCGTAATTCAAGCTTCCACAAAGCCAACGAAGAATTCAACGTGAGGTATGAATAGCGAAGAAGAACGTAAATATCATACATATCTTTAGGTATCGGTGCGTCTCTGTTAATCTTCATATAAGAGGGAGCAAAGAATCAGAAGCATATCGATTAATACCGTAATATTACCATAATATATAGACAGAGAGAGAACTATAGTCTGATCTGTTTAGTCAACTTAGAGTGCGGAATCTAGAATTCCAATAGAAAGTCCCCGTCTCTCTCTCTCTCTCTCTCTTTCTTTTTCTCGAAATGTCGTGAATATCAACTTATAGTTTCTTGTGCGATTAGCCAAGCACACAAGCTTTGCGTAAGGGCACTATAATACTGATTCTTTCTTGCGGATTAAATTTCGCACACGCCTTAAAGCTTACCGCATAAAATACACACGCATCAAACACATTCCTCGCATATGGATGGGCTCACACTGTATTATTTTTTCGGCGTAATCAATAATTTACGATTCTATGATAGATAAATATCAATTACACAAAGCATTGCGTGATTTTTCAGCTTCGTAAGAAGTGCCACGGATGTTCCTTGAGATCGCGCTCGAGGGAACTTTCGTTGCGCAAGTTCCTGCCTCTCGAACACATTTCGTGTAAAGTTGTTATTCGTAAGGGGCAATGACCGCGATAGATAACCCATGTCAAGAACCGTCTCGATGAGAATATCTCGCAAAAAATTTTCTTTCGATTATCGTACCGTTATTACGAGTAGAGTACATACATATTTTATGTATAGCGCGCGTCAACGCATGAACCTATTAGGTTCCCCAGAATCATACATCTTATTTTATAGATCACCCCGTTACTCATCGCCGCAACGTGCAGACTTCATGTTCACTTCGAACGCGAGAAAAACGAGATAAATTTTTATCTTGCAATTTGGTTACATGGCAGTGTTTCGAATTATAAGATTCCACTAGGCGTGAATGCGTTTTGTACGAAAGAATACCAGTTGAGCGTGTTTCTCTGTAACATTAGTTTATACAACGAAGATACTCGAGTAGCATTCACGACGGACTGATTTTCGTGAATCATGAGTTACTGTGAAATGATTTGACGCGTATATAGTCCAGTAGTTGCGGAGTTGAGAGCGGGGCCAATCATCAAATGGACGAAATAGGTCTATGTAAAAAGTAGTTTATCGCCTAAGTATATTTTTTTATTGTATCACGCATATATATAGAATCCGTGTGACTGTGTGACTTCAGGCATATACGTACGACACATATAGGATGACCCATCACGAAACGGGTAAATCAGAGGTGGCGTAGCGGAGATCAAAAGGAGCAACGTTGCTTTGTCCTTTTGGTGCGGATGAGCGGTATCATTGATGACAGATATTCTAATCGTTATTACCATTGAAAAATATATTCCCGACCTTTTCTGGAGTTTTCTTCTGCTTTGTCGTCTGTCATAATTAGTAAAACTGATGTTTTGTGTGAATTTAAATTGGAGGAGATGTCGCTGATTGCATATTCACCGAACAAAGTTGCTCGTTCCGAGCTGCGCTACAATCTTCTTGGGATTTGTTCCTGCTGTAATGTGACATCTTGTTATCATTACATCTCATTACATCACGTAGGGAACAAGAAGCAAACGTGTTATTATTACCCGCTTTTACGTACTTACGTATTGTTATAAGAAAAAAAAGACTGTCTTTTTTCGTTTGTCTGACCTTACGTTTGAAGAACATTAATTGCATGATTTAGATTTTATTATATTATGAAAGCCTTCTGAAAGAACTATGATTTATACGCGTGCGAGTAAAATTCCGTTTACATAGCTCGCAGAACGTAAGACGCAGATCGCAAACGCAGATGCAAGTTCATGATCAGCTCCTTGCATTTACTGATCATCATCTTGCGTCTGCGTTTTGCATTCTGCGAGTTATGTAGACAGAACTTAATGATTTTCATGCGAATATTTCAAAAATTCTTTCGTTAGCAATCAAATGTCTGAATCATCCCTCTTTCTTCTGTATGTTATTCCATTTACTCTCCCGAAGATTTCAAAATCGGATTTTAATGACGCTTTTTGTATGATCTTAGGAAAATATCAGATTTATTTTTAAGGCCGCCACAATAAATCTGTGGGCAATTTGCAAAAATATAGAAAAGATTTTAATTATTTATTAAAAGGCTGCGACACTAGATTCGGTTATTTCATTTTCGTTCGTCATATCGCTGAAGTAGCTAACGACACGTCGGCTATTATATTTAAATCATTTATTATAAAATTAAAATACAGCCAAGCCGCGACATCGTCCGCTAGTCATTTTATTTTGTCCTTTCATAAAAATTGATAACATCGTAAACATTGCCGAATGGCAAGCGAATGTATTTAAAAGTTAAGCCGCGTTTTAAATTAAATATCTAATTGGGCGTTTCGCCGACGATGATCCGATACTTCGTCACACAATCTTCTAGAAGATAATCCTTGCTTTATTTATTGCAACGTGCGATACGAGTGTTCGAAATTAGAGAAATATGCTGTACCAGTGAAAGTATTTGGCAGTCAATTGTCAGACGAGATCTGTGTTAATGAGTATTTATCGTTCAGGTTCGATTTCTTCGGCGTCGTTTAACTGCAATTCATTTTAAGTGGATCTTCCTACATAATCCTAATCTTAATCATAGATATACAAATATTGAAGGAAGATATATCGAGATAGAATCCTACTACAAAAATAAGATAAATGATAATTAAATATTGCTCAAGTCGTTTTCCAACGCAACGTACGGCGAATAGAGACCAGCGCTAATCGTCGTCAAAGATATCGATCCTCATACGTCTTTTGAATCTGAACGCGCATTTGTCGTCCATATATACGCATGTGTGTGTATGTGTGTGTGTGTGTGCGCGCTTGTGTCCGTGTCCATGTGTCTCACTATATCGAAAAAATCGTTTACACGCGTCTCGCAATGACGACAGCGAGATTAGCGTGTCTTTATAATTAAATATTACGTCTATGTGCTTATTAGATTTTAAGCGATCGTCATGATTATCGAGAAAACACCCGTTTTTGTATGTTCGGCTCGCATTTCTTTTGGTCTGCTGGATTTAATATATTGTTGGACTCAATCAGTACAAACGGTACGCGCGTGTTAAACGCTCTCGACTCCGTGTCTCCTAAAATCTGTAATATTATAGATAGCAATAATTTGTAATAGTAGCGATAATACGATAGTAAAGTAGCAACTGTAACAGTAAATAGTGTAATATTATTTGCGGTAATAATAAAAGTAGTAGTATAGTAATAGTAGTAGTAGCAATAGTAATAGTAATTGTAGTAATAGTAATAGTAATAATTATAATGATAGTAATAGCATAGCAACGTTGCATCTAAAAGTACGTGGACTACACGCAGATATTTCAAATTAGCCGGCGCTCGACGTATCGTAGAGACAGTTCGTCGATGTGTCTCGAAAAACACAATGTGTAGCGTTATTACTTTCAATAATGTCAAAGTAGATAGTGCCTTTTGCGGCGCATCGTTGCGCGCAGACCGATCCACTCGTCGCTTCTTTCCTCAAAAACACTAACATTCCGCCGTATACCAATCTTTTTCTTTATATATCCTCCTATATTCTCTTATACTTATAAAGTGAGCAAGATGTCTGCACTTTATATTCCGGCAATTCATCACGCTGATGGCGACCATTGCTCTTTATGCTCCGGCGTATAGCGTCGTGATAAATATGTACCGGCAGAAAGAGGTCAACTCTTCGCTATCCTGACGGCTTTCTGTATATTGGCGTCTATCCGACCTGAGCACAGAATATTTCACGTAAAAATAAGTCGTTCACCTATTCATAGATACGATACAATGAAAGTCATAACTAGCTGACTCAAACGTATCGGAACACTCGTTCGCGTAGCTTTTCTATTGTCCCTTAACGCCCGTTGCAATACACGAAAGAGTCACTTTACACAAAACACCCTATAACTGCTTCTCTCTCTCTCTCTCTCTCTCTTGATACGAATCATTTCATTCGACAAATTCACTCGTTCCATCCAATCTTCGGGTGCACAAGCAACGTGGACATTTCTCTATGTCTTGTGGCAACCTTTAATAAGTTAAGCGCGACACAACAAGTCAAGGATCGATACCGAACGCGGATCACGAATTAGCGGTGTACACGAACGACATTTCTGTTGACCGTGCTATGTAGTGAGGTATAATGTCTTACGTTAGTACGTTTGATCATCATCGACTAAGCTAAGCATCATTCTCTGCTTGGCCGAAGCTTTGCTAGCGGCACTGTATCTACCTACCTACCTATCTGACTACTTCTACCTACCCTATCTACCATCCTATCTTACCCAATATAAGAAAGAAAAAGGAAATAGAGAAAAGTATATGTATGTGACTGCACATGGTCGAACGATCGCGAATATATTTCTTTCGTAAGAGAGTGCTTTCAAGAGCTATCACACGTGAGAGAAGATGAAGAATATTTGCAGACGAATCCACCGTGGGTCTGTCTTTCCTCTAATATCGTGCTCTCCAATGTTCCTAAATTACCGGCTCACTCTTTCTCTCGTAGAGAAAACGTCCTTGTACGTCAAGTGTCCCGCATAATCATATACGACTGAACTGTTTGGTTTCGCTTGTTTGTTACGATCGAGCAATGTTCGCAACCACCTGTAGGAAATCCCAATTTCGCAACTCGTGTCTTACTCGCACGTTGTCCCTTCCGCATTCATCAGAGAGATCCAGTCGACGCGAGCTTTCATGATTATCGATGTCTTTGTCTCCTTGTTTCTTCGAGCCGGCATCTTTAGTCTTCGGGAAAAGCTTGAACCCACAGTAGATCCGATTCAAGCAACCGAACATCGTTGTCGCCTATTGCGAGACTTCGTTGTCCCTCACACCGGCGATGAGATTTCTTGAGGCCACTTTACGAGATGCCTTTATAATGAACGAAGAAGAAAGTGAGGAACACGAAATAGGCGACTGGGAAAGTAATCCTGGCTATCACGTCGATCGTCTTCGCCACTCTAATCGGATGCGGCGGTTCTTTTTTCCTTAGCTGAAAGAAAAAAGTTTTGTTACCGCGACACCTTGACACTTTAAAACGCTGCATCGACCGTATCGATCGATTGTAAAATTCGACAGAGGAGATGATGAAATTATCATTACGAAGCGAATCTCTTTGACATACAACATTCATTACAAACACACGATCTTTTTATTAATTGCAAAATTGTTTACTCTCATTATATTCTTAAATGCATATAATTCCAATTTTCTAAGAGTCACTAGAATATTCATGTATACCGAAAAAACAACTTCGTTATATTAAAAAAAATAATTCTCAAAATAAAAGAAATACATTTTTTAAATTTCATTTAATTTAGTTCTTTAATTTAATTTAAATAAATATTTATAATTTTAATCAAATATTTGTTAGTTTTAAGAAAAATTCATAAATGTAATGTTTTTTTAATTTATAAAATGATTTGTAAAATCATGAGTCTCTAGATAAGAAATATAATTTCTTCGATTTAAAGTACTGTTGTACAAGAAAAAGCAAATTATTTTTTTACAAGAAGAAAATAGATATTTTAATGTAAAAACCCTGTCCAAATAAATAGTTGCTTAATTTAAAAGTAAGCAAAATATGAATAAATTATTTTGTAAATCTAAATGAATAATTTTTTTACATTAAAGGAATATTTCTTGAAAGAAAATTTATTTTGAGTAGAAAGTTTTTTTTTATCAGAGAATAACTTATTATTATTATTATTATTATTATTATTATTATTATTATTATTATTAGATATACAAAATTATTTATTTGTATTTTGTTTACCTTGAAAACAATTAAATATTTTTTAAACATACTTTTTACATTTAAAAGAGCCTATTTTCTTCTTTTAAAAAATCATTTGTTTTTATACATGGGTATATCATATGTATACAATGCGAAATGTCCGTCAGTGATAGCGGTATAGTAGGCAAGGTGAACGACTCAAGAGTCAGAGATCTCAAGTTCGAATTTTAACAATGGTAAGGAAATTTTCCAAATATAATATAAATTGAATTAAGTAGGGCGTGAAACAGTGAAGTTCCATTCGCATTCGTCTCTTAAAAAATTAAAGATATAATATAAATGGTAACTTTGATTTAAACAAAATTAGCTAACAACTAAAAAATACTTCTTTGGTATTAAAAATATTATTTTGATATTAAAAAATATTTTTTTGATATCTTCTTTTTTCTACTTTAATATTTATCTTGTCAAGTCAAATAAATATTTTGTCAACTTAAAAAATTATTTAATGTAATTATTTTTTTGATAAAGAATTTACTTGACATTAAAAGAATAGTTCTTTGAGTTAAATAATCAATTTATTCTATTCAAGAGATTACTCTTTCAAGTTAAATGAAAAGATTCATTGAAGTAAACATTTTCTAATTTTTAACATTTGTTTTTTTTATTTTGATGTTACATTTTTTTTTAATAAATATTTTTCTGAAATTAAGAAACATTTCTTTTAATCAATAAAAAATATATATTAATTTTAATCAAATAATTAT